GTACACTATGACACAGTCGACTCCATCTCAGATGGGATGGCGGGTGGCTCAGCTGGGCAAACAAATGACTCTCTCAAGAGAGCAACATATGACTTAAAAAAAATGAAGATCGTTTGCGTGTGAGGCGTAAATCTGGAGAGCGACATCTTCCAAAATGTATTTTTCTCTGGTGTTGTGTTCTAGCATTTGGGAAAGGAAATTTTACCAGCACCATATTGCTTAACTCGTTCTGTTACCATTCTAGCAAAAGAAAGGCGACAAGTTATTCCAGCAGTATAATGTTCGCCTACATATTATCCAAGATTCACAATAGATTCTTCAAGATGTTCAAAAAACTTCACTGGCTGATACGTTTGCTCGACCAGCCCGCGCATGAAATATATGTGACATGACATAAATATTCGGGATTCACTCAGTCAGCTCACCGACAACTCTAAATGTACTGTGTTATCAGGTGCAAGTGGCTTAGATTTATTAGGCGCAAAATGGTATTCGACACCTGTAAGATCGTATACGTGAAACAGAGTGAAAAAAAAAAAGGCTATACCTGAAATAGTAAAGGCTATACGTGAAATAGTAAAGGCTATACGGGAAATAGTAAAGGCTATACGGGAAATAGTAAAGGCTATACGTGAAATAGTAAAGGCTAGACGGGAAATAGTAAAGGTTATACGTGAAATAGTAGAGGCTCATAATAAGAATATAGACGGTGTTAATAAAAGATTAAAAAACATATGTTACATATCCCATCTGGAAATCTATTTCCGTTCGGCATATTACTTACACATTTAATCTTGTGTAAACTAAAAATTATTCAGGCTGTTGCTAACAAGAAAAAAATATTTCTAATATAGCATCAGAAAAGTCTAATACTTCCATACATATATACACAAATATATTTATTACTTTAAACGTTATTTCTAGTGCAAATATGTATATTCAAGAAAGTAGATTAAAGAAACGAAGACTCTACGATAGGATTTGAACCTTCGCCCCCAACTTTACAGGAGAAACCATCATTAGATCCTACGTGCTTTTAACTTTTAAAAGCACGTCGAATCTCTCTCTCTCTCTCTCTCTATCTCTCTCTCTCTCTCTCTCTCTCTGTATATATATATATATATATATATATATATATATATATATATATATATATAATATATATATAAAAAAAATCCGTGGGTAAGTAATCCAAGTACATTCTATTAATATAAATATAAAAAATGATCCATGAAAGAGAGCTCAATATAATTCTTATTATAGAGCTTATAAGTGACTTACAATTAATGAAATACAAATTACCTCCATACAGATGGACGAAATGATAATATATATATATATATATATATATATATATATATATATATATATATATATATATATATATATATATATAATATATATAAAATATTACACATTGAGTGCTGGTGCTAATACCGGTAAGGAAAAATGTATATTTATATGTGTGTACGTGTGAGTGTATGTGTTTAGGTGTGTGTGTATATACGCGCGTACAGACACGCATACTAGCGATGCTCCAAAAGTAATACCTTCCATTTATTTCAACAGAAAAATACATAGGATAAGGTGAATATATCAGTATCGCATAGAAAGTTTTGTCGGCTTTTACTCAATGACGTCTTCTTCGTAATCCATATTTCATCGCCCCGTATGTGGACTGTCAAAACTTTGCTGTCACCACTGTGCTCACATCCACTTTTTGGTTTCCATAAATTTTCAGAAATATCTGATGTAAATGAATTCATGCAATTTTTTTCAATATCAAGAAATTCAATGATTGATTTTTACGCACTTTCATATTAAACTTCATTTTATTTCATATTTCATCTTTCACATTTACAAAACTCCTATTCTGAGAGGAGGTATTATGTACAAAATTATATTATTCGGAATATTGTCCCCATCTTTGTCGGCATATTTATTACGTTTCGGCCGTTGTACGCTTCGGCCTTCTTCAGGTAGTTGGAATGTTTATAAAGGCTTCAGTTCGACATTCCAACCATCTTTGTCTTATTTTTTGTCCTAGTGAGTTGTTAACAAATCTGCCTCACTCGCACATGGAATGGGGTAGCCGGTTTAGTCACCGACACTCCGACACTCCGACAGTGGAATACTTGCCAATATATATATATATATATATATATATATATATATATATATATATATATTTATGTATGACTCGTTCATACAAAATTCAACCTCAGTGTCGCGACTGCACGCTCCATAAGTTTCTATTCGTTAACAATAACACATTTCTAACAAAAACTTCTAACAATATTTCTAACAATTTCGATTCACATTTAATTTTTCGAGTCGGCTATTACCTATATCTACTAAAAAAACAAAACAATTTCCATGCCTGAGGATGGCTATATGTACAGCCGAAAGTACTAGCAGAATAAAAAAAAGACCTTATACAACTTGAAGTTATTAAAAACAAGGATCATAACATTCATCGAGTGGTTCGTAGGTTAATGTAACTTTAATAAATTTGTTTGCGAAGATGTTTTTCGCCATTTATATCATTAACTTTACTAATCTACTTTTTTTGTATGAATGATTCATGAAATATAAATTGAACTGCAACACATATTTTATATATATATATATATATATATATATATATATATATATATATATAGGTGTTTAAGCAAAGTTAAGAAGATATTTGAAAAAGAAATGGATAAAAATCGAATACATTAAATTAAAACAAACCTTAAATTCGACAGTAATTGAATTTAGCCATTTCAAGGCTCACCTCTTCATACGGTTGACCAAAAGTAGACGCCATAAAGTTGAGATTGGAATAAAAAAAATTGTATCTCCCGGTCAAGACAGACACCCCGAGCTGAATCCCCCACCACCAATTGTGGTGGGGGATTCAGCTCGGGGTTTCTTCCCTGATTTTTCTTAAAAAAAGACACCGGGAAGATAAGTTATGGTAATGGGAAATTGACTGAAGCCGAAGTGCCAAGTCAGGACCGATAATATTGCAGATTCGTCCTATTTGTTAAACATCCCTAGATCGATAGCAGAATTATCAGACAAGATGTTTATTGTGGTAAACCCTCCTACAGTAGAATGAACTCTTCCTCCTCTCATAAATACTAACTGGGAGACTTCCTAGGCATGTAGTTAGTCGTTGAGCAGACGAGACCCAGTGTAACTTGATCGGACGGACATTTCTATCTGCTTATTACTAACACTCTTACTTTGTATATAGCTGTTATTTGAATACACTTGTTCAACCAAACTTCGTCTTCCCTGTCTTTCTTTTCTGGCCTCTAAACAGGCCACAACAATGTGACAACATTATTCATAGTGCGAGTAAATGGTAGACATATTTAAGGAAGACAAAATTGTTTTGCTCGACACTGTGAAACAAATTTCGTAGCAGCAGATTTAGCAATTAACTCCCTATAGTCACTTCAACTTATATCGGACGGAAGACGCAATGTATTACTTTCCAGAGGGTGAGCATCAGCCATACTTGTAAGATTACCATTCATTTTCTTACATTATTTACATTATTCGGACTGTTATCCTCATTTTCATTGACATATTCCCAACGTTTCGGCCGTTATTCGCTCTGTTCTTCTTCAGGTGATTGGAATTTCGAACCGAACCTTTTATCTCGTCCACTGGGGTAGATTGCTCTAATTCCACGTGCCATGTCTCTTCCGGATGTTTCTTCTATTTTCCTTTAACTCAACTCTCCAAGTTCTGCTTCAGCATTACGGTAGCCTGGTATTGAACACACAACTCTTTGTGTCTAGTCATTGGATCTAACTAACGCCTTCCTTCACTGGACCATGTGTCCTTGAGGGTTCGGTTCGAAATTCCAATTACCTGAAGAAGGCCGGAGCGTACAATGGCCAAAACATTGTGAATACGGAAATGAAGATGAGGATAAAAGTCTGAATAATGTAAATAATGAATTTAATCATAATATCTCATCTCAGAGATATAGACAGGCATTCATTTTCTACTTGTAATAAGGAAACAGTAGAGGTTATTGGAGGGAAAGCTAACCTTCTACTGCCAAAACACCAAACATCCGACTCTAGCGCCGAAAGCTAACTTAATAAAATAGGAAACGTTAATTTCAATGTTTCCCCCTCGTATTTTATAAATATCAGTAGAGTTTTGACTTCTGTTTTATAATATTTGGAGAATAAATGTTCATTTTAAAAAGTTATTGATTAACCACATGTAATTTTTGCCGAAAAATAATACCTTATGCAAAATAACAAACAATATCTCTTGTCTTCCGGGGACTGAAATATCCGTCCAATCTGTAAGCAGCCTTTGAGTGTGAGCAGGTGTGCAAGTAAAAGTTTAATGAAAATAAGAACTAGAGAAATGAACTTATGGAAGCAGCAGTATTAACGGAAGGCATTCTGGTAATGCCTCTCAAATGCTTCACTGCCACTTCGTTGCCTCAGGTAAATCTAATTAAACTTGAAATCGACTAATTGGAATCGAAGGAAATCGCATAATGGAACTTGTTTACCAGTTCCGAGTCTACAGAAAAAAATAAAGATGATGTGGGTTTTTCTTGAAGGGGTGGGGGGGATTTGCCTTTTGCCAATCTCTAGAATTTTTCACCTGCTTTCGTCAGCTGAACCTCGATTATTATATCAGTAAATGTCAGTAGAATTTGTTGAATCGACACAAGCATAAAATACACAGTTAGATCAATGTTTTCCCTTTCCATACACACTCTTTTCTATATATTAACACTAACATACATCTATCTATCTATCTATCTATCTATCTATCTATGAATAAAAAAGAAACACGAGTAAAAACTATACTTTGCCGACGCGTATCGTTCATTAAGGGACTTTATCAAGGCAAATTATTTACCTTGATAACGTCCCTCTGAGGACGAAACGCGTTGGCTGGTTTTTGTTTTTTGTTTTTGTTTTTTTTGTCTTTTTTTATATTCATATTATCTCTTCTATATCCATCTGAAAATGTTTACACTATCTATTTATCTATCTATCTATCTATCTATCTATCTATCTATCTGCCTATGTCTTTCCACCTATGTATCGACCTATCTATATATCTCAACCTGTTAGTATTTATCTATCTCAGTCTGTTTATATCTATCACAACCGTTCATATCTATCTATCTATCTATCTATCTATCTCAGCCTGTTCATATTTATCTCCTTATAGCAGCCTGTTTATATCTGCCTATCTCAACCTGTTCATATCTATCTATTTATCTATCTATCTATCTATCTATCTATCTATCTATCTATCTATCTATCTACCTACCTACCTACCTACCTACCAATATGTTAGAAAGTACAAGTAGCGTAACAGTTATTGACACGGAAAATTGAATTACCTGAGTCGAGTTTAAATTCCAGCCTGCTGCTGTAAATTTCGAGCAAATGACCTCAGGCATATGAATCCAACTCTGAAGCTGCTATTAAGTTTCTTTTAGTATATCCATGTTTAATTGTTCACTTCCTTTTCCCTATCGCTCTGTCTCGTGCTTGATCCTTAAGCATAAGGGTACAACCACGAGTTTTTGTTGTTTTTAACGCAAAGCATTCGTACCTGGCTTCTAAGGCATGAACGAAAACCAGTCCTAAAAACACAATTTTTATGGTTAAAAATTAATTAAAAATATAACACATAAGCGAAGCATTTGAAAAACAACAGCGCAATATCCAAATTAGGTGTTCGAAAATGATATCTTAAACAATCAACAACGTAGAGACGTGGTTTGTCTTCAAAGACGTCTCCATCTTTCTTATTCTACAGGGTTGCATGTTTCATTTCAGTTAGTGCTATGGTTTCTGAATAAGGTTTCGTCTCCTATCCATTCTTGGACTTTTTCAGATATTTGCTAGTTAATCATTAAGCAAACATTTCACAATTTTTGCAGTGATACATTTAGTGTGAAAATAATGTTAAGATTTCAGTTGAAGCTATAAATCAACTTATAAAATATTTCTCTTGCTTCACTTGGTTATTATAAAGTTAGCATTTGAAGTCAGATTTTGTAACTAACCTCTGACAGGACAATGTGATTAACTAAATTTAGATTTTCTTGAAATAAAATTCTTTTTTTCAGATACCGATTTATTGGTGAATCTTGTCAAAGCAGAATTTTTCCAAATGTTCTTATACATTATTATGGTATGAAGATCTGATGGTGCTTTCCAGGTCTACTACCGTTCTTCATAAGAGTAATGGTACCGATATAAAAGAAGCATGATTTTTTACATCGACTTCAGAAGAGGGATTTTGCAAATGGCTTTGAAGAACTGCTTTTTTTTCCTTCATTTATTTTTCGGTTTGATTTTTTGAGGGAATTATTCCTCATAAACCTGTGATCTTCTATGATTCTTGAACAACAGATTCAGTGTTGAAGTTACTCCAAGAAAAACCTTTAGAATCGATTTCACCCTCCTCCCCTATCTTTTGAATAGGAGTTGTGTTTCCTGTTTAGGAATGGGTTTCTGGTTCTTTCTAAAGTCTTTTCATTCCCTTTCACACTCAGTAGGCCCGTGCGCCTTAGTGGCATTATCGCCTTGCTTGAGGTGAATTGATAAAAAAAAAGGTTTAAAAACAGCGCTGATGTGAGCGCAAGAAAGTGAACACAGATGGACCCAGATGTGTGAACCCAGGAACTTAGGAAAGAAAAGACAACTGGATGTGAAGGTGTTCTATAAACTCCCGACTTACGTGGAAAACGACAGAATCCCGTGTACTCTCGTAAGAAAATCGAAAGTTTGAAGAAAGATTTGAAACCAAATATCGTTTGTTTGGCTGAGGTTAATTTGATGGTATCAAAAAGTGGATAAACAATTATTTTTAACTATGGAAAATATACTCTCGTGTCTTTATCAGTTGTTACTATTATTACTTCAACATTATAGCTAATGCATCAGCGAATTTTCTTTCAGTATAAAAATTTCGTGTTCGAATCCCGTTAAATGTGTGGAATCCATCTTCTTATTGTAAAGACTCGATCTACAAAATCTTTTTACTTGATCAGAATCAGTGCGTTAGCGCCCTTGAGAAATCATAAATATCCTCATCGTAAAATTCTGTGTGTGTGAACGCAAAATGGACGTTCATTCATTTCTACATTTTTCTACACAATGGACGAGAACAAATAGTTTTTTAATATACGTAATGAACTAAACAAAAGCTTATAATGGCATCCGATTTCAATAAATTATTGAAGTTTCACTGATTATTATGAATAACGGAATGCTGGCTTTCTTTCTTACAGGTTTTCGCTCCTCTTCCACGTAACCAATTCAATGAACAATTTCCATAATTCTTTATTTTAAATTATCGTAAATCCTTTTCGCATCCTCTTGTGTTCTTTGTGCTGACGAAGAATCCATTCTTGCCGGCCAATACATAATGGATTCTTTTGTAAGAAACAGCGAAGATTTTTTTT